CAAAAAAAAAAAAAAAAAAAAAAAAAAAAAAAAAAAAATCACGAAAATATTTTAAAAACACAATAATAAAATGTAGTGAATGTAATAATGTTAGTAGTTTTAGACAAATAAAGTTGAATTTAGTCGCAAATGAGGATTTCTTGGGGTATTCTTGTGATGTTATTCCAATTGTTTCCATTATAATGTTATTTTTAATTATTTCTTTCTCTACCTACATAAATAAGTATTGAGAAAGTAAAACAATACGATTAAAGAAGCATACAGTCACATATTTCATAAAACATTAAAAAATATATGAAAAAATCAATAGTGCGGGGCTGAGTAAAATGTCACTCGAAAAAATCTTTGTAAAAAACTGGAAAAAAACTTTTCATTAAATATATTTCATTAGGTATGGAAATAATGCAACTTTCCTTTCCTTTCCTTTCCTTCAAAGCCATGTGCCGCAACTTTTTACAGTTACATCAATTCTACCGTGATAGCCACATACAAAGGACTAAATTCCATTAATTTAGCCGTCTAAATTTCGATGATTTTAAGAATGGACGACGCTTAGTCTTGCTAATGAACACCGGCTCGAAATATATTATTATTATAAATTATTGTTACTATTTTGTATAAATAACTAAAGGCTTCTACATTATTTGCAGGGTATTACATCTCTTTTATCTTATTATCATCTTTACATTTAGTTTGTTTATTTTCTAATTACTTCATTCGGAACATAAGGACAAGCTAGGCTTGAATACCAGCACTATAATATTTTGAAAGCGAAATAGAAATACGGCGAGATAAAGATAAAATTGGGAGCGAGTAAAAGAAGTGAATCAAATGGATGAATAAATAAATAAACAGATAAATTGCTGCACAATAGAAAAAACGGAAGTCATGAAATTTCCATAAGAAACACTTAATGGTTTTCTTCTCAATATTTTTACCTATGTTAAAATATATAGTCGATATACACAGTGCAGAATATCTTCAGTTCCAAAATTACCAGTTACTTTTGTCAGCAAATGAAGAAATTCCCCAATTCGAAAAACAGCGATATTTCTGATGACGATTTTTGAACCCCTCGGTGGGATACTAATGGAGCTACCAATGAAGAGTCATCATATCTCATGAATAATTACATCTTACTCCTAGCACCCTTTCAGATAATTCAGTACTTGAAGATCGACACAAGAGTCTAAAAATCTTTCTTGAGGAGTCGACATCGGCAAGAGTTCAACTCACCACGAAGCGAGTAAGCCAGGAATCAATCAAATATCATGCATAGCCATATCGCTGCTGTCAATTTTTGTCGCGAACAAGGTAAGTTGTCCTTAAGACTTGTGGGTTTTAATACCATTCTTCAGCACTATCAGTATAGTTTTAAAATGCTTCGCAAATCTTAACAAACGACCCGGCACTTGTGCTCTTCAGTAGACTTCATGAGTTCTAAATTTCCATACATCCTATTTCATAATTCCCGCGCGATGTATAGAAATGTTTTAAGATTTAAAAAATTCGCTCCTAAACCGACCTGGCGGAAAAAGACATTTTCTAGTAAAATCTACGGGCAAGAACACCTGAAAATGAAATGATGAATTATGTATTTAGAAACAAACGCATATCTCCTAATGCTTGAAAGGTTTATGAGTGAGTATCTCTTGACATGAATCGAGATGTTGCGAGCTTTTGGAATGAGTGCCGTTGCCTGATCTATTTGAAGAGTTCTCCGAAGCGCTTTCTATAGCCGAAGATAACAGAATAAATTTTAATATTGACACTGGATATCGTTTCAAAATGACAACAAATAGTGATTTATCGGTACAAAAGCATTCATATATAGCGGGTTTTACTTTGCCAACTGAAATACTGGAATAACAAGGGTTGAGATGTTTTTCGTTTTGCGGTAACACTTCAATGCTAAGTTCTAGTTGACATTACTTTATGTAATTGTAAGGCAGTTTTCAAGTATACTCTGTTGCTAGAAAGCGGCACAGTGGGGAGTATAATATTCCTTTTATTTAGTGAAGAGTTTGACAATCCGTCGAATGACTGTATAGGAATTGGTTACTACAATCCGAGAAAAAGAAAGAGAGAGGAAGTTTGTGTTTTAACTTTCTATTGTTAGGCAGAAACATTTCCATCCTACGAAAACGGAGTGACATAAAAACTTCATTAAAACACTTCCATCTTCCATCTGCTTTGTAATGGAATCAAAACAATGGAAAGCGAGTTTTTTTGGTCATAGATTTATTGTTTGTTATGTGAAAATGCGTTAAGACTGTTAAACATTTTATGTTATTGAAAAATCGCATTTTCCCCCGGTCAGAAACCATCTTAAAATGATGCAACTTCGTAACCTTTCTTATCTAAATATGCTCTGTGTTATTCTTATTTGTAAAGATGTTGTTTGGTAACGTTACTATATCGGGTTAATTAAAGTTTACTAAATCCACCGGCAAAAACGATTGGAGTAAGAAATATATGCAAAAGCGAATAGCATTAACCGCGTGGGATTTAATGATTGAAATTATAGGGCTTAATTAATGGTACAAGTCACTACCACCAGAGGGAAACATCTTAATAACAAAAACAAAATAAACGTACATTGAATAAAATTGAATGAATCAAAAGCCATTTGCAGTTCAGAAACGGGCATTGATAATTACACGACTTTTAGAGTAACCATTACTTTATTTCCGCCATGCAAGATTCTTGGTGGCGTTAATGGAAAATAGAAATATAATGGCAGATAATGCTACCGGTAAAAAAAATATTGCAATAACAATAATAAAACCTTTGATGGTGTTAAAAATAACAGCATCGTTACTACTAAAGTCTGCCTTACACAGAGTTACATTAAGAAAAAAATCGATAACTACTAAAGAATCTTATGTATTCGAGTTTGTTTGTTTCATCTCGGCTTATAGCTGTGATCCACCTCGATCGCCTTTCTTCTGACAAATATTTAGCTTCTTCCCCTTGACTAGTAACGATAGAAGGTACTCTTGCAAAATAAACTCCTTTATCTCTTCCACTTTTCGATGCGCAGCCAACAATCATACATAAAACCATCTTCACACTCAAGACGCTCTTGGTTTGTTTACACTTTTGGTACACCAATATGGCGGCTAGCAACGGTTGTCAAGTGATTTGGTCACGTGCGTGAAAACGATCTATTCCATTTGAAAAACTACCCGCTCTTAGTTCGAATGGGTTCATACTTGCTACTTTTACGAAGCAAAGCGGTAAATCGTAAAGTAACTATACCTAGTTTCTAAGTTCATCTGGAAGCCGGAGGCTGGCAATAATACTCTGTCTAAACATAGTCAATACCCCTCATTAAATATGGTCTAAACTAACAGGTAATATATACAGTCCTTTGACTAAACGTTGTCGTTGATCGGATCATYCCTACGCGCCTAGACCGAAAAGGATAACGGGTAAATTACCCAGAACTTGTGTCATCCAAACTGCTCGCCAGTTTAAATCTTCGCCGTATGCTCGAGGCATGGTTTTAGCAAATTAAATGGGATCGAAAAAAGCGAGCTCAAGACGTGTTAGATAACATATGCGCAGCTAGTAACTGTCAATTAATTATCCCCATGATACTGTTCGGTCTAGGAGCGTAGGGATGAAGCCGATCAAACGACAACGTTTAGTCAAAGGACTGTATATCTACTTGGCATGCAAACAACCTCTAAGCTGACAGTAAGTCAGGGACGCCCAAGGTAAAGAGGTCTGTTTAGCAAGGTTGATAGTAAGGTTTGAGTTCAACTTCTATTTGAGAGATGTTGGTGGCCTAGACTGTTAATACAATTCCTCTTTTCCATCCATACTCAGTCGAGTCGTGTTTTTCCCCTAACTTGATCGCGCGTGTCGCTTCAAACTTGTCCCCACGCCCCGCGCGACCAGAATAGGGCGGCCAAAAGTGACCCGACTGATAACAGTTTATTGGTAGCCAAGCACTGAAATCATTTTAATGACAAAAGTGGTGGTGATGATGATGAATTAAGATTAAGCGAGGGGGTGGGAAGATGTTATAAATGAACACTAAAACAAGATTCCAAATAAAGTGGATCGAATCCTTTGGGGGTAAGGAGGAAGGAAAATTGACACTCTCACCCTAAGGGGGAGTAGAGGGGATAGCATAATGGTCATTAGCAAACGTATGACCAATATAAGTGATGGAGCACTTAAGGTTCTAAAACGATCGTCATGACAACCGGCCGCGACTTACTTTTCTTACCAACAATTATTGTATAATGCTCGCTATCGCTATTGATTCGGATCTCACGCACGGAAATTCGTGCTAAAAAAATGTAGAGCTACACGGTAATTAAGCCGTATCTTTAACGTATCTCTGCGGGCTTCAAGTACAACGTCTGCTAGGTTCTCACGTGAAATGTTTTCTCATTTTACAGTTAAACACAAAGGTAAGTAGGTGTATATGCTTCAGTGAAGGTTGCATTATATACATGCAGCATACATGTGTGAACCGATATCAATAAGAAAGCCAGCCTTCTGCATCTCGGATCGGCTTCCTGGGGATAATCGCCTAAAGGAGAAAGGGAAAAATGACTGAGTAGCTTCTGGGGTAATCGAAAACTAGCTTAAGGGATGGTCAAATTCGAACTGAAGAAAACACATTGATATTATAGTTAATCGCTAACTAATTGGTTAAGATTCACAAACATTATTTCGTACAATTTTTCGTGATTAAGGAAATAAAAATAATATAATAAAAAAAGGAAAAGAAAGGTAATGCTATAGAACAAGAACAAACAAAAAACAAGGGAAGCCAGCCCATTCGAAGATCAAAAAGAAAGCGAAATAATAGCAAACTAAAAAAAGAAAACCTGCACTACAAAATGATTATGAGATATAGGAACAGTAAGAATACTGTCGATTTTAGAGAACATCTAAGACAACTTAAGATCGCACCGGCTTTAGAACAGGTCTAAAGTACTTCTGAATATCAACCACACTTCCTAGGTACTGTTAATCCAGGTTAATCTAATCGTCTTACAAAGGTAAAAAATGAACTAGTGCTGAGAATGTTTGCAGTGAGAACACCCGAACCAGGTTATTATTTCCTGAACTTTCTTCTTTTTTAAGCCCTCTATAGCTAAAATGAAGCATCGAGTGTTCAAATAAACCGAATGAGAAAAATAAATCTTATTTCCCATTGATTGGCTCAAGGGATGGCTTAAAGCATTTTTATTTAAAAAATCGAAGTTTTCACGGTTAGAGTGACCTCACTTTAAGCTATTTCTCTTGATTTTTTGTCTTGATTTTTAATTTTTTTAAATTTTTGCTCGTGTAGCTTTTTGCTAGTCTATTCTTTCAATACCAAATGTATTGCAAGTATAAACGGAGGAAAACAAACATATTAAAGAGAAGAGTATAACCACGCCGGAACTGTGAGAATGAGATTGTGCACGTTAAAAGACAGCTGCATAACAATCGATAAATAAGGACCATTAGGTCGCCCCTTAAGAGAATTACCTACTCCATTTACGAAATATTATCTAACATTTATTCGAGGGTTGTGGTACACAAAACGTGCCTGCAAGATATATTGCTTTTTAGAAACCGTTGCATTACTAAATATTGAATAATTGTACTGATGTAATTACGACTCTTATCAGTTAGGTATATAGCCACAAATCTAGCTACAGGTCAATATCTTGACAATGATTTAATTCATTTGATTCGAGAAAATTGTTTTTAGTGTTGACAACTACAGCTATGAAGGGGTTGCTACAATTATCACATTTAGGCAGCGCACAATTACTTCGAGTAAGAAATGGGAAATGAATGCTTCAGTTTTTGTTACAAAAATGATTATCTTTAGTAAAAGGGTAATTTCCATGTAAATTTGATCTGCAAAGCCAGCCAAGAAAGCAGGTGCTTGGTTAGATGTCAAATTGAAATTCCTAGATTCTCTTTGAATTCTGTGACAGGGTTATGGTAATAGAGAAACAAAGACCTGTTCACAGCTTGTTAATTATTCAACAGGCAGGTTTAGAGCCTTAGCTTTGCAAGAATCCGCAGTTATAAAAGGAAGTGAAGTAGCAACGTGGATGCTCGACAAGTCCTCAAAAATGGGTTAAAATGGGTGCCGGCGGGACCAAAATTATGTTCCAAGGTAAAATAACTTTTAAGAAGGTTTCAGAGCACTTTAAAAATTATCAATTGAAATATTTGCGATCAGGAACGTTTCGGTGATGGTAGTATGCAGTATCTAGAAAGCACCTGCTTGCTGCAGCTAACGAGAAGTCTCACGCAGCCAGCTAGGATTTGTGTTCATCTTTTAATATCTGATTTTCAGAATGAATGATAGATGCTAGGAATTCGATAAAAAAAATAAAACTACGAAAATAATGCCACTATGGTGAACAACTGGACAGAGAAGCGTAGGAAATAGGATTGAAAACAAATAGCGAAAAGGAAAACTTTCAACTCACTCAGCATTGAGTTGTATTTCTTGTTTCGAAAGCTGCTTCATGTACATTTATACCCGGCTATAGCGAATGTACTATTTATCAAACCTAAAACACTGCATGAACATACGACTAATTTTTTAAAAACAAATGAATTTTTGTCAATTTTATTAAGAAACAGGCAAGTGACAAAAACAACCCTGGGATAAGCTGAAATCGATGTAACATTATCACAGAGTACTCGAAGTCGATTTATTTTCTGAAAAGCATAGTGTTATGTATAACTTTTTTTTATAATAAGGAAGTAGAATTGAGTAGGAGTTTTTTTCACAACTTGGTTCAAATTGGAAAGGCTTCATAATGAAAGATATCCAAAGCGTTCACTGAAGACCTGACCAACAGGGTTCAACACTATAAACAATCAATTGAATATTTGAATACACTCAGTTTTTAGGTATAATATTTTAAAAGTTCTTGCAAAAAAACTTTCGGTCATGGCTGGAATTTAATAACATCCAAACGACGAAATGTGTACAGGAGTAGCGCGATATGTCATTATAAGCAAACAGTCGGACGCATTTAGGAATGATTGCGGTTGTTGTGGTCAAAACAAACTTCTCAATACAGGCAGACATCTATAAACACTCGTGAAATCTTTCAGTATACTGTGATATAGTTAAACTATTTTCGATTTTGGCATTACTTGAGCAATACAGAATAGAACTACTTATAACTATGACTTTCTATTTTCCTCGAGTGCTTCGTTTGGGTTGTTGAAAAAGCCGGGGCTACGACAACTTTCATAGTTAAATCCTATTACGATTGTTTTGTCAGTCAAAAAATGGAAAACTGGCAAATCTCCATGTAAACAGTGGCTCAAGCGGTGCCAATATTTCTCGTGAAATTTCTAGTTGAAAAGAAAAACAAAATACAACATCGTTATTTGAATATTTATGCGTAGGAGTATATTGTGCGTAGGATGAAGTGTTGAATATTCGAGAGCAAAAAAACTAAAGCAATTAAATCTGTCAGCCAATCATTCAATGAATTAGTCTGGATAAGAACTCTTGATGAGTGTTCGCTTTTCCCACTCATAAAGAGAGGTCCAAAGAGTGCTTAGTACTTTACAAAGACTGGTAGAAAATCTCTACTCTAATGGTTGGTTGGTCGAGGTAAATCCTAAGTCGCCCCATTTAGTCATTTTCTTTCTGAAAAAGTCATGCTTAATGACAGGAAGGAATTTTCCAATTTTATAACAATGTATTTAATAGCTGTTTTTTTCCATAAAAAACGCACCGAATACTCTTTCTTCTAATTGGTATATCTTTATACTCGCCGGTTCACAACAACAAAATAGTCAATTTCGTATAGAAGATTTTAAGCCACACTTAATAGGAAGCAAGTTTTAATCTTGGGAAACGATATTTGTGTATTGTGCGGGTACCAAATTCGCGTGAAAAAAAAAAAGAAGATTGTAATCGATTTTAATTAGAATTTTTTCGCGGGTTTGTATCTTTCTTTATAATATCGTCTTTGTTTATCTTCTGTGTGGAATCTACTATACTCTATGTGGTGTGTCTTTGCTATGAGTCTTCGGTCATATTTAGTAAAACCAGACAAAACAAGTTTTACGAGTTTTTTAGATGAAACCATGTTGTAGATATGGGCTTTCTTCCGACGTTTAGTGGAATACCGCAGTTATCCGCCTTGGGTACAATTAGTGGCTTGCAACCATTCATAATGAAACTAGTGAAGAACGCCTAATATTGGCGCCCGGCCCTCCTTTGATGGTACATATGATAATTTTGCTTTGATTATTTTCTTTATTTTGTTTAGTTTTTCTCGCTGATTGCTTCAAGCAAAATCAATAAAACTCGGATATTTTACGTGTTTCTTAATTTTGTATTCAGTCATTCCATAGTGTTAGAGTATAAACGAAATAGACTATTGGCATATCCTGTATTCTCATTGGTTACGTTGCTAAAGATCTACTCATGAGTGACAAGCCCCGTAGTACATATTGAGGAATTCTTTTTGGAACGACAGCGTTTACCAAGCTTATGCAGGTTTATATGGGCTCTGAAGTGAAAAAGGCGAATCTAGAACTGGTTTTTGGAAAACAAGGGGGAGGGGACGGGAGAGGGACGCAAGCCGTCGCAAGCAGACGCAACTCCAAGCTAGTTCATGTTCTCAATAAGAAAAAAAGCGATGCAAACGCAAGATTGTTTATTACTTGCGTTGGCTTGCGCTTGTGCTTATGGTTGCTTCGGCTTGCGTCGCTCTTGAGAACCAGTCTTTATAAAAATAATAAAGTTAATCTGTATGACACTAATATCTTTCGAGGTGAACAGTGCGAATTTTGAGTGAATGTTATCAGTGAAATACGCCTTTCTAACGTACAAAGAAAGATTGACCAAAAACCGCGAAAGAGCGTGGGCACCAAATCTGGAAACCAAGCCGGCGCAATCAATTTTGTCTCAAAATTCAGAAATATAAATGCGGAACGAGCTCATGATCTTTGAACTTCACCAGGAACGACATTCAGTCTGCAAACAAAACCTTTGCCTGTGCGTGTGTGCATGCCCTACTGAAATCTCCCAGGGCCTACAGAAAATTCCAGGGCCTATATTTTGGTCTATTATATATCTCAGGGACTATTTTTGATTGGCCAACACAATTACTGCAAGCCACCAAAGCATTTAAAGAGGAACCAGATGCTGGTCCTACCCAGTTTCTTGGGCTTGCGCGTGCAGATTCCCTTCATTATTGGTGAAGACGAAAAGGATCGTGGGCTTTAGGAGCCATTACTACAGTCTTAGCAGCTTGGGGAAGGATAATAAGGTTCTACGTTCCGCGTTTGATGTCTGTTTAGAAGCATGATTACAAAGCTGATGAACCTATCTCTTTATATAGGTCAGAAAAATTCTATCAATTTATTTTTATGTTCATGGACAGCAAGCCGGAATAATTTAGTATAGCCTCATCGCATATTTCGCATTACCAAATTGTCTGTTTTCGATTATGCCTGAAAACGGCGAGTTAGACCAGCACTTCTGCACACATTCAATGACTTAATCATATACTGCAAACTAAGGCACAAAAACTCAAAAAAGTACAGCATCACCTTACCATAAAAAAAGAAAAAGAAAATACGACTTTATGTGCCGTTTTATAGGCACAGCAGGAATTGGAATAATTTTGGGGTAAAATCAAGTCAACTGTGAGCAGTTGTGTCAATAGGAAAACCACGTTGGTGGGGATGATTGACTTTAGTGGTTGGATTGTTATTATCATCCGACTTACAACTATATTGTTTCTTCTTGCAGCATCAAAGCATACGCAAGGTACCACGGAAGAAACACACAGTATGTTAGCAGAAACAGGACAAGATGCGTCTTACAAACAAACGGATAATCAGAATGGTAGGTCCTTATGATGTATGTACCCCGTTTCGTATGCGTTAGGATTTATGCTGGACAGTACCTAAACTACGTGAGTCCAAAACAACTAACCAGCATTCACTGTGTCTTGAAATTATCCTATGTTAAACTGATATTTCATATTTTTAAAGCACGAGGAAGAAATCTAAGCTATTTAATTTCTTATTGACTATAGATCGGATCTATATTAGTATTAAATGTATTAGCAAGAATTTGATTATGAGGTGAAAAAAAACAACACATTGTCCGATAAAAAATTTACTAACCAAATATTTACGTTATACACACTTGATTAACAGTTACAATACAAGAAAGACAAAGAATAATGATGATAAATAAAGCCGGTTAATCGAAAATATTACTCAAAAACGAAAACATTCGACTCACGAGTTAATTTAGGCATAGTGAGTAGAGTATTGAATTCAACTCACTTATATGAATGATTAGATCAAGTTAACGTTATATTCAGGTGGTAATAGAGTGATGATAATCTTAAGTAAGCTTTATGAATTGAAAATTAGAACCGCACGACTTCAAGTTGGTTTAAACCGTGCGCACTCAGACGATACCAACGATTTGGAGGTTACCGACGCATTTATATTACCCTAGAAAAGGAATCATAACGAATATTTACTTTTCATTTAGTACTGAAGACGAGTATAGCATAACGTATCCTTTTGAAGACTTATGGCTAAAAAAGATTTTGGGGTTTTACAGGATTTTTTCCCGGGTTTTTGGTTCTGTTCACTGTATGCTTAATCTCATATGATTTAGCACATTCGCTTCCTTCTTTCCGGGTACCGATTTCAAAGCTGGTTTTTTTGACCAAAGTTTAGTTTCATTCGATCTCAATATCACGTGCTGATATGCAACGATTTTATTAACAAGTTTAACGAGGTACTAAGGTAAAAAGAATCAATCGGCGTACATTTACAACCTAATTATTCCCTTGTCCCATAAAAAATACACACAAAAACAGGGTACACCTCTCCTGGTCTAATTTGATAAGGAAACTGATACTGATTTTGGTCTTTTTGCACGACTATCGTTCGGTGCCAGCGCGGTCGTACACGTAAGCTGATGGAGTAGGGAATGTTTGAAGAAATACTAAATAATGAATATATTCCTATATCTACCGGTACGAATAATGTGAAAGAAACAACGAAACGTACCTACTATAGAGATCAGGTGATAAGGATTTATACTGTATAATAGGTAATTTGAACAGGAATTATTACTAAGATTAGGTTACTCCAAACAACTCGAGCTAATTCAAAAACTGAAGCTAGTTTCTTTTGAAAATTAGAATAATTATAGACATTTTTTATCTTCCCACTAAACGGTATTGCTAATAAAGATAAAAAATAGCGTAATAATGCGGTTTGTTAGTGTGACGCATGCGCAGTTCTGTGCACCTGTTTTGTTTTCGATGTCGCCGATCGCAAGCCTGTGAGCTTTTCAGTAAGATGTTAAGATAACTGCGATTCGAAGCTGAATTATGGGGCAAGACTTGGGCAAAACGAGCCGGCTTTTGAGTAAGTGTCGACTGGAATCTCAGTGCTTTTTCGTTGGATGGTTTTTTTCAACCATAGTGTAAACTAAACCCGCTGGTGTTTTGCTTTTCTTATCAACGTAGGTATCAGGCGAAAAGGAAGAATACCCCCAGAAGAAGCTCGTCTTACCGGTGCAAAAATACAAAATTCGAACGGTGGGGATAGATTTAATTCTAATACCATTCATTTTGTCGATCAAATAATATACCCAGTAAGATAAACGAAGTTTAAGCAGTAGTACCCTATGTATGATATATAGCTATAGTTCTGTCTGTTTTGTTTACATCTCGCATATATTATACGTCGAACGTCTGCATTATCAAGATCATAAGCCGCTTGACTGAGACTCACCAAATATATAACGTGACCTAAATCCTAGTAGTCTATTCAGAAAATTTTTGAACTTCATGCCTTATTATTAGCCTGACATATTTGTATTAACCTTAAGTTTATTGTTTACTTGAATGTCATATGCCGGGTATTTACAAGTAAAGTTGGTGTAATAAGTCGTCGTAGTTACATGTCAGTTTATTGTATTATCGTTGTCCTCGAAAATTGTATTTCATATTATGGACTTGAATTTGAACTCACAAACGTACATATATGATTGATATTTCACTGAATTTCGCTCTGGTGGGAACAGCAGTATTAATAGCAGTATTACTATAGATTCAAACAATTTTTAAAAATAATTACCTATGATTGTTATTGTTTTAATGTAACACTCAGTACACTTTTAAAGAAACGATTAGTCGTAGCATTTTAAAGGTTTTTTTTTTGCAGATTTTGATCAATAACTTTTTATGGTGATAAACAGCTAAATGTCATCTCTACATCTCGTGTTCAACTCAATATTCATCACATTTTAAAATTTTCATTCGCCTGGTTTGTTTAGTCTGATCTACTAGCTGGTTTTTGAAAGATAGCTCTGATATTTCTTAACTTGGTACTTTATATAGTTTAAAATTTTGACCATCAATGTTTAGTTTTCATCAAAACAAATTATTTTAAAATAACGTATGCTTCAACATATTTTCAGTACATCTTCAAAATAGGTTGGTATTCGAAGGACCAAAGGGACAAAAAAGTCAAAAAGAGAAAAGAGGTTCACCACAAATCTACCATGTTATCAGAGTTGTGTTATTGATTTTAGGCTTCCATGGATTTTTGTATTGACTCCTTAATTTACTAACTACTGTGTCATCATTTTTATTTAATGGCAGTCTTCATAAATCTAAGGAAAAATCTGCATACTGTAGCATTAGAGTTTCTGTCTGAATGGGAGCATTCATAATTTATGGGGTGGAGGTTGGTGATTGGGAAGGGGGGGGGGGGGGGGGGGGGGGGGAGTTGTTGGCATTTGTAGAGGAGCCAGGCATTTTGTCATGTAACAATAAGGGGGTTTATTGAAACTATTTTTGATATTTAGTGTGTATTATAACAGTCTGTAGTTTGGGGGGTTCACTGAAAAATATTTTGTTGAAGTAGGAGAGCCACACCAAAAATACTATTTTGAAATGTAAAATCCCCATGGCCTTTCTCCCCTCCCCAACACACACACATAAATTATAAACCCTTCTTCAATGTACTCTGACCTTGGCTTTGGTTCAATGAAAGGCTAAACTTCCGATGATTAAAAATGCCAGCAGACAGTCTTGTTTTTTAGTATTTATAAGTAGGGATTCTGAGAGTGCAAGAGATGTTAGAAATATAGCCATGTTGGAGGACTTTAACAACATATTTGGTTATCAATTCATTGGTGGTGTCGACAAACATGAAGATTGCATTATGCATATTAAATTACTCAGTATGTCCTGACCTCATTGTGTCTCATCTCAAAATAAATAAGTAAATAAGATAGATAAATTTGGGGGAACAGTCTTCAACATAGGAGAGGGACCAATAAACTCAACAGAGTGGGTTTCATCTAAGAATTGGACCAGAGATCACAGCCATGAGATGAAAGAAGCTGCACATTATACTACTGTTACTTGAATAAAATATAACTGCTTATCAAAACATCATTGATAAGGATGTTAATCAGTACTTTCTAGCTGAATTTCATAACTTGTAAAAATGTTTATGATTTATATTTTTGCTTAATTTGTCATGATTACGTCATACCTAACTATTGTTTGGCAAATATTAGTTTACTCATGCATTTACCATATTTTTTATAGAGCCAGAATATAAAACACAACACATTGGATGCCGCATTGATGGCCTAGAAGATCTTTTGCAACACACAAAGTTCACTAGAGCTGAATTACAACGCATGTATAGAGGATTTAAAAATGTGAGTACATAGTTATATTTGCAAATGTTAACATAGTGTATAATATACAAGATATAACAATACTATTCTTAATCGATGTTTTTTCTTTCAAAAAAGAAAATATGTTGTGGAGTGTATTTGCACTGACCACACCCTCTACCCCTATGACATCATCTGTTTATACTGAAGAAATAGAAAATGCTCACCATGCTGTGTGCAGTTATAAAGCAGGGGGTTGGTTCTGCATAGTGGAGTGCTTCTCTACATTTCTGAAGAGTTCTTCCAATCTCCAAGTGCTTTATGACTCCACATAGCACAGCACAGCAAGCAAGTTTTTTATTTCTTTTATAAAATACAAATTACAATAACCGTTATTTTAGATAGAAATGATGCAACTGAAAGTGTGCATGCATGCTGTGTGCTTTTATTAAGCACATGCTCCAAACCAATCAGAACGCAGGATATTTATAACATTTATTTTATGATTAATCTTCTTTACCTTGGTTTCTAGAAGCTCTCTTGTGCCAGTGCTTCATGGTCAAAAGTTCCATTATAAAACCTTCAGCCAAAAAGCACTTGTGAGATAGAGCCTCTGGAACCCAGGGTAGCTGTTCTTATTATGTCTAGCTAATCACTTTTGATTAGGATAAATAAAGTTATTATTATTATACGATCATTCAAATTCATGTACTGTCTCATGTACATCATGATTTACTAGGCCAAGATAGCCTAATCATTATCATCATCATTATCATTATCATCATCATTGTCATTATCTTTATCATTATCATTATTATATTATTATTATGAGTATGGTTGTGCTTAAATTAATTTGATCAAATTTGTATGCAGGAATGCACTAATGGCTTAGTAGATCGGGAAACATTTAAAAGAATTTATGCACAGTTTTTTCCATATGGTGGTAAGTACTTGTTTTATCATGCCTACATTAATGGTTTTCATTAGAAACTAAACTGTTTTCTTATGGTTTACTTAAATATAAAAGTTTATATTTTTTCACTAGACTCAAGTCAGTATGCAAATATACTGTTCAACGTGTTTGACCAAAACAAAAATGGAAAAATTTCCTTCGAGGTAAGTTATCATAATTTTGAATAGACAAAAACGTATATCTTACTTAATGCTATTAACATTTCTTATACATTGGCGTAAATATCATAAATTATAATCATAAGTTTAAATCTCTAAAGGAAAAGTAAGTTCAACTTACCTCACGTGTATCGACTTGAGTTCTAGATCTTGAAGTAGGAAAATGAGACCCAATATCATGTCCAAATGATCTCAAAATTGGTCAGAATAGTCATCAAACCCAAAGTAACATTGTAGTTTTGTATCGAAGACGTTTAATAGGTAAAAGAAGACGTATTTCAAGAAGAAAATATCCAACTTTCTTCCTACCGTCTTCTCCCTTTCATTCATTCAAGCAGAATGACAAGCTGCAACTTTTACAAACTGATTATGACGTTTGCGTGACGTAGGAAAAAATCTGGTTCTTTGATTGGTTAGATTTAAATTTACGTCGTAGCGCGCACTATTTTTAATTTTTAGGGAGGGGAGGGAGAGGACAATCTATAACAAAAAGAAAATGAGAAAAAAACAGAATGGAAAAAAGAAAAAATAAAAAGGAAGGAAAGGAAGAAAGGAACTAAGAAAGGTGCTAAGAAAGCATAAAAGGTAAACAAACGAACATCTGATTAAGGTTTTTTGAATTCTTTTTATAGGATTTCGTGCTTGGATTATCAATATCTTTGCATGGAACGTTAGACGAAAAAATGAAGTGGGCATTTAACCTTTATGACTTGGATGGTGATGGCGTAATAACCAGAGAGGTAAGACGTAAAGTCTGTCTGCGGTTTGGCAATTCAATGTGAATAACATTCAGATGTAATGCGGTTAATATTTCTATATTTTGTACAGGAACTTGCTACTGTGGTTCATTCTGTGCATTGCATGATGGGAGAAGCACTGCAACCTACTGAGGAGTGCAGTGTTCAGGAACAAGTAGAGCGACTTTTCACGGTAAACTTCAGAGCTTTTGCTGTAGCGTATCTTAATTAAATATTTGTTGAACGGTAACAAGTAGAGAAGGAAGGAAGGAATTGGCAAGAACGAAATATAGCGAACGAATGAGCGAACGAAAGAAACAAAAGAGGGAACGAGGGACTATTGAATAAAAACTAATTATTCGAGAGTTATAAAAAACCAACGCATAAATGAGAATGAATGAATAAATGGTTGGATGGATGAAAAATGAGCGGAAACAAACAAAACAACGAATATGATGACAAAAGAATAAAGAAATGGATTAATAGAAAGGTAAAATAAGAAAGGATAAAAAGGTAATAACATGCATGTTGTACGCTTATTTTTTTCCAGCTTATGGATACAAATGAAGATGGTGTCATAACAGAAGACGAATTTATTGAAGGCTGCAAAAAGGTACGTACTGAACAAATTCAGCACTCAGGCAGGGGCGGATCCAAGAATTTTAGAAGTGAGTGACTATTACGAAGGTTTTACCAGGAATTCGAGGAAAAGGGGGGTGACCGTTACTAACTGAGAAATTTGAGCAAAAGGGGAGGGGGGGGTGAATAGTCACCCTTTTTACCACCCCTGGATCCGCCCCTGCTTAGAATTAATTTCATCTGTTCTGATGCACAATTTTGGATTGCGAGCAGTAACACTTTTCCCTCCAGACTCAGTTAAAACTAGTTTTTAAAATACCGAGTTTTAGGATTCCTGTGGACGCGGAAATTGGACGCCGAGTAGGCGGGGAGCGCGGAGAGAGAACACTACCGTAGGGCGCACGGTGGCACATGCCCCCCAAAAGTTTGCTTTCGGCACCAAACTTTAATAATTCAAGCGGGTTTCCTGTGGATTTGGCGGGAAAATGGTACATCCCCCACTTCCTATAATCGAGGCCTCGCTACCCCAATGAGAGGAAAATTACTTTCTAGACGCTCGCAGTCCAGCATAATTTAGAGGTGCCAAGCAGACAAGACAGTTATTCATGACAATAATTCTTTTAATTTATAGGACGACTCAATCAAGCAAAGCCTTGCTGTTTTTTCGTCAGACCGATAGGCTTTATCCTCGGAATGACGTCATTAATTATGCAAATGTTATCGATTAATGATACGATTAATTGCTAAGTAATCCGCGTCGATATGATCTTCGTGGTACCGGAAGTCAAAAGACATTCCACCTACCGCATATTTATATATTTATCTATATTTAATATAATGAGCAAGTGTGAGAAGATCCTTGAACTGAAGCCTGCGACACAGCTGGGGTCGTAGATCGAACCGAAGAAAAGATGGGAAGGAGCTGACGTCAAGAAAGAACATTCGATCTTCTGGATTCCTGTCCCCGGCCACCCCCACCCCCACCCCCACTCCCCACGATTTTTCTTCGCCCTCAAGAGAGACAACCAGGCGTCTGACTCGAAAACGGGAGTTACCTTTGTTTCAAATATATCTAGACTAGTTTATAATATATAGAAAGTGAGTGGTCAGTGTACTGAACTTGAACAAGCTGGCCCTACATTATAATATATGCCCTCAATTTAAATAAAGTTATTATTATCATAAGATTTTATTACACCTTCGTAGACGTTTTGTAGTGCATCAGTGCTTCGTCAACAGTAGTTCATTTCTTTTTTCAATTCAGTAAGGTTTATGAGAATCGTAGGAAGGGTTTAAATAGATTGGCAAATTTTCTTCTGTTCACGCCCTTTGACACTCCTTATGAGTGTAAGTCATTAAATAAAATCAGTTGATAGTTATTTAATGAATTATTAACAAACTCCAAGTTAGCTGCTGCGTTTGTGAATAATAATAGGTAACCATGAAGCTATCTTGTTTGCCAGTATGTTATGATTTGATATTCGATAATAAGTCTTATGAGGGCCAAAATAGCCGCTTTCACATTTATCCATTTCTTCCTCCGCCCTAATTTTGTTGGATTTAATTTAATTTAATGTTTTCCCTAATTTTGCTAGAGGTCCATAGTTCGATCCTCAGGAACATCACGTCTGTTTCGACTTCTCTCTGTTCTGTGTAGCTTTAATTAGCTTTAAATACCCGTAAAAAGGAGCACTGATAGTATGAAGCGGGGTAGAGGACATTAAACATGAGTCCCTGGCTAGTGAGATTTGATCAACCACTCCCCGCGTTATTGAAGTAAAACAAATCACCTTTACCTTTTTTTACCTTTTTTTCATCCTTTTTCCCCTCTCCCTCTCTAAATACTTGATGTACTACAACCGGTTTTTTCAGTTATGAGCATCGAATAGCACGTATAATTTTACACGGTATGTTTGCTGGCTGTTGTCCAGCTTTCGCGCTATGCATGTACTCGAAAAACCGCAGGAAATTATGTTTTGAGACGACGTTTTGAAATATGACGCTACAAAATCTCTACGTCATACACGACGTAGCGGCGCACTTCCCTGCAGTTGAAGCTGATAGCCCTTAAGGAGTTAAGGAGTGATTTTTAAAATTGACCAGAMGTGATTCGGATGCTTCTTATGGCTTTCGCAGGGGCGAAGTCACGCCCTAATCCATTCAGACTTCGTCCAAGTGTATGGCTGAAGGAAATACTTGCAATAGGATGAAAAAGTTACCCAAAATATTGTTATCCATCTGTCTGTCTTGTTCACCTTTGCTCGTTTGAGAATAAATACAAGATTTTTAAGAAGTATTATAGTTAACCTTGACCGGACGTTCCTTGATAGGAAAGATAAGGATATTTTGGTCTCATAGTTAATTAAAACCTTTCATGCCTCGATCGGTCGGCCTTTTGTTATTGTACCTGTTATGGTACGGGAAGCCAAATAAAGGAAATGGGAGGTGACGGGAAAGGGAAACGAAAGAAACTAAAGAAAGAAAAGGAGAAAGGAAACAATGGGAGCGAAGAAAAAATCAAAGAAATGAAGACAAAACCTTAAAAATAACAAAATAAAAACAATTTCAATTAATTATTTGGAAGGAAAACGTGGTTTCATTTCGGTCGTTGTCTGGATACTAAGCATTGATCAGACAATAGACAGTATTTGCACGGTACACTTCTTAACGGAAAGCTCATTAACTGTCTGCCTAGTCACCCGTCCCATTTCAGTCCCAATATGTCGAATTGGTCTTAGGATATCTTTTAGCTACACTTGATTATTTCCCAAATGAGAATCAAACATCTAGAGCTTTTTATTCATTCAATTAATTACCAATCAATTAATTACCAAAAATTTAGGGGTGGAGGGGGGTCGTGAGGAATATATCTCCCATGCACCTCCCTAGATAAATATATTGCATTTTCTATGATTTTAGCGTGACGATCGATGTGTTTGGTTGTTAACGAGGCAACTGATGCGTTGAAATAACATTTGATAGGCGTCCAGCTGAGAAACTTCTCAGCACCAGTCTATTGAGCCCAAGCATTTTTGGGCGTTATATATATTATAATTCGATGAGTTTTAGAGAACCTATAATTGATCATCCGGAATGAAAAAAAGCATGTGATTGTCACAAGAGAGCTGTATAGATTTTATACCTTTTTAAAGAAAATGAACCACTCTTTTTCGAATTTTTAAGTTCAATATACTACAATATTTTTCAAAGRAAAAAATCACGTTTCACCACGTGTGAATAACAATACCTTTGTTTTGATTACAAATAAAAATACATTTTAAAAAGAAGGGCTTCCGTTAGTGAGAAAGACTGCTGAAGCTGGAATAAAGCTATCTCCGGCGCAAAGAAAAATGATTTAAGATCATGGTTAACATTGATATTTTTTAGAAAACTCTTAGAATTTTTATATAACTTCGATAGCATACTACCCCACCGGGTAAATTGATCCATGATCAATAGCACGTGACTGTCTTAAGCCAATCATGGTGTAGGATTGATGAGCGGTAGCAAAGGATTTGAGACGCATGTGTAGTTGTTGTCTCCACCGAATACTTTGGGCGTTGCAGTGAAGGTGTGATCGCGTTCGAAGCTTCGCCTTTTTACTCGACATCGGCCGAGTTTCTTGATAGATCCTTCACAATGTCTGCGAGCAAGGCAGGTAGAGCTATCACTGACATGAAAGCTCGTCGTCTCAGTGCTCCAGCGAGGAGTAAAGCAGTGAAAAGGCCAGAGGATATCGTCCGTGATGTGAGAGGACTCAAGCTCCGCCAAAGAGTCTCTCTTGTTCTAAATGACAAGGTTCTGCGCGAGGAGTTGGAAGATATCGTCGAGAATTTTGTCCACAATGGCCCAAAGCACACCGAGAATATCCGTGCTTACCAGGATTTCTTGGTTCCGACTTACGGTGGCAATGCTGGTGGAAGTGTAGTCACTCCAATAGCTGATATTCGAGGGTCAGATACACTGAATTACTCCAAGCAAGAGAGGCTTTTGCGCTGCAAAGTCGCTTCGGTTTACCGTCTTGCTGATCTATTTGGATGGTCTCATGGAATCTATGGCCATATTACCGTAAGTAAAACTATTTCTGCTGGTTTATATAGGGATAATTTCCCAGCTATTTTAGCTTTGTGTGGTTGAACTGCACCGCGCCATTCAAATGGTTTTCAATGAAAACAAAAAGAAAAGGATGACTTCCGCGTAGTGGTGGTAAAAAAAAGCGCTGGAGTGCATGCCTTATGAGAATATTCGTCAAAATAAACCCYGTCTTTTAGCGCTTGGTTAGAAGCTTACTGCGTTTACATACGATTCCGTGTGAGTAATCCTGTAAATCGTGACATTTGATTCTAAAAGCTGTTTGCTGTTTATGAAGATGGCCGCGGGAGCGAGAGCCTAGCATTTGCTCTGTCTTCGTCGAACAAGCTTCCTATTTTTGATTTTCTTGTGTGCTGTTTTCTAGGCTCGAACATCGAACGAGGAAGAGCACTACCTGCTTAATCCTTTTGGTCTGTTGTATAGTGAAGTAACTGCTTCAAGCCTGGTAAAGGTTGATATTGAAGGAAACCTAATCGATGGAGGAAGCACGAGTCTGGGAATAAGCAAAGCAGGTCTTGTTCTTCATTCAGCTATTCACGGAGCGCGTAAAGACATCAAATGTGTAATACATCTCCATCAAACCGACTGTACTGCGGTAGGTATCTTTCTATTCAGATGACCACCAATTTACCTTGCTAAACACCCTAAAAAAGCGAGTATATTTCTATGTTTTCGGTTTAGTAAAGTGATGCACGCGCCAATAAACAACGTCTGGAAATCGACAAACTCCAGACACTTTGTTCATTTTTATTACGTTTGCCTGTTTGTAGGTTTCATCTTTTCGCGTGATCTTTTCAAAAAAATAGTTTACTTTGAACACAGCCTTGAAAAAGGCAATCGTTACACGTTCAAGCATGTGCCATTTTGTTAGCCACTGCTAGAACCTTCATCCAGGGTAATTTATACTTTTGTAAATTATTTGACTTCCATCAATCAAGCACTACTCACTCTTGGGCGTGTAATAATATACTTCAATATAGAACTTACAAAATTGTATCACCAGTGAAAAATAAGAAGATATGAATGATAAAAATCAATGAAGGTGTTAGCAAGACTTGTTAAGAACTGGTACTCTAGAAAACAAGAAAAGATTTCAATACAGTCCTAGTATATTATTACATCCATCCATTCAGCCATGTCCAAGTTGAACTTGTAAAAAATAATAAATTTACTTTGTCAATCAATTTGTATTTTCTGTCGAAAATCGTCAATATCTTTTTAGTTCATTTTTGACATACCTTCACATATATTAGGATTCCTCATTGAAAAAATTAAGTTGATGTAAAAAAAAATTGTCAAGTTTAGCATAAAATTGTAATCATGACAATTTGAGATTTCCCCCACTTATTAATATTTTTTGGGTTTGTGTTTCACCAAAGTTAAGATGAATTTTGTTATAATGATAATTTCCCACCTGTGTTGGGCTAGACAATGCTGTCACCTCTATTTAAAATTCCTGGAAGACAACATCTTGAGTTTTAGATGAACATTGGTTTTCTTAATAGTGTGTATAAGTACAGATACACTTCAGGGTGAAAGGATTTTTATGAGTCATTCCTTTATATGCCTCCTTTACCTTTTAAAGAAATTTGACTTCTTCCTATCGTTTCAAAATAATGAATTGTATCAGGAAAAGGCTCATTTTTTTGGTTAAAAAATATTTAAAATGCATTCACATGAGTAGAAAATTATTTTGTTATGTAAGTTTAAATTATCTGTATAAATTGGAGCATATATATGAGTTTTATTTTGTTTACTACAGCAGTACTTATTTAACGATATATTTTTTGACATTTAAAAGATTGTTTACCGTTTTGGTTCTTGTCATGCATCTCATACCTGTCACAATGTGGCTTAATTTTTGACCAACCTTTTGGTCAGAACTAAGTGTCGAAATGCAAACAGAAATAAATATAAATTGGGTTTGAGCTCAATAAATTGACTGTTAAGATAATTTTATTGAAGTATAGAAAGATTCTAGTGATTTATTGGAACTTAGAATTTTGTATGTATTTTACAGGAAAATATTCTAGGTGGGTTGGTAAATTTTCCTTTTTTTAACTCCAGGATTTTTTATAGCAATAATATCAAGATAGGGCTACATCTTTTTATGATGGAATGCTTTAAATATAAAAAGAAAAATATACAAATTTGATAGACAAGTCTTTTTAAATGATTTATTCATCAAATTTCCAAGATTGTGGTTTCAACTTGATTTTAATATTTATTATAGGGATTCTTGTGCATCCATCGTCAATGATAATGCTTGCTTAGATATTCAGAGGCTTTAATTTAAAAGAAAGGAAAAGAAAATTTATCATACTTTTTACTGCAAAACATTTTGATAAACATTTTCATAAAAAAGTTACATTATTTTTTGAGTATTTTGTAAGAGTAGAAGCATCAATGTCAATAAACAATGTCATCAAAATTCATGTACCAATATATTCAGAGTTCTATGTTACACAAGGGTGTTGGTAGAATATTTTATTTATTTGAATTAATTATACCATAAAATTCTTAAAGCTTGCTTTTTGGTTTTATTTACTTATTAGTTTTATAAGAAAGTCAATGTAAACATGAAAAGAAAATTTCTGAATGTATTTAAAAAAGTTAATCTCATAACTACTTAGCCATATTTATCATAGGTCAAAAACTAGAATCGTATATATATATAAAATTTTTCTGCATTTTATATAACATTGGTTATATTAATGATTTGTTTGTTTGCCCTTTCTTTATTTTTGTTTGTTATCAGCTTTAACTTAACCTTAACAACGTTAATTTTATTTAGTCTGTTAGCAGTGTAGGTCTATGGTGTGTAAAATGTTACTCCTTTAAATAGACTAAACATTTTTTGTTTTCTGTAATTTACCTACTTAGAAACAAAAGTAGAGCAATACTTAGGATAAACCATTTAGGGCATGAAGTAGGCAAGCAGTAGTGACATAGCATCCTTGCCACCACAGTAAAAGAAGATTATGGAATTTTAAAAATATTTATATGTTTTGATGACTACAAGATATTTTTTTGGATTTTTCCAAATAGCCATGTCTAAGTAATTTAAATCCATTTTTATCACAGTTTTCATTACAGTAAAATCCCAATAATTTTAGTCCTCAAAAACTAACTCTGGCTGACTCACAGAGATTTTTGTTTTTCCCCGAATTAAAACTTAATAAAATGAGTTACAAATCTCATGGTCTGATTGGTTTGCAGCCCATGCTTTATGAGAGCACACACCTGCACTTTCAGCTGCATCATTCCTATCTAAAATAAATTTTTATTTTTATTTTATGAAAGAAATATAAACATTGCTTGCTGTGTGTAGTTATAAAGCACTTGTGGATTGACAGAACACTCAAGAAGTGTTGAGAAGCACTCTGCTACTCATCTTGCTTCTCCTAAGACTTTTCTCAAGTTCTGATAACATCAGTGTGCTTCATAACTGCACACAGCACACATGTACATTTTCTATTCATACAATACATTATTTCAGGGATTAACAAATATTACTTTCTTCTCCAATCGTGCTTATGCTAATGTTCATTTTTATTTTATTTACCAAATAGGTTTCTGCGACAGAATTTGGCCTTCTTCCATTATCTATTGAAGGAAGTGTTGTAAGTTAAACCACATCAATTACATGACAAATTTGTAATATAAGTACAATGGAGGCTAAAATCTAGCCATGAAACCATTTCAGTGTTATGCACAAATCTAGCCCTGAAGCCATTTCAGTGTTATGCACAAATCTAGCCATGACGCCATTTCAGTGTTATGCACAAATCTAGCCATGAAGCCATTTCAGTGTTATGCACA